GAACCCGTCTAGTAGCCAATTTTGTGAGAAAATCAGCGGCATCGTTGTCCTTTCGTGGGGCATGATGTAGTTCGATCCCCTATAATTTGTCCTCAACCTTGTGCACCTCCTGGCAGTATGCTGCCATGAGGGGGATTTTACAAGTCCTTCATGACTTGGTCAACGACCAACTCTGAGTCGCCACGGACGTGCAGCTGTGTAGCGCCGAGCTCGATGGCGATGCGCAATCCGTTGATGAGGGCCTCCTATTCTGCAGCTTTGTTTGAGGCCAAAAACTGGAGACAGATCGCGTAGCAAAGCCTGCTCCCATCCAGGGAGATTAGAACCACTCTAGCCCCCGAGCCAGGTGCCATCACAGACCCATCGAAGTACATCGTCCAGTACTCGTGGGTGACATCTAGGGTCAGGAGCTGGACCTCCGTCCATTCGGCGATAAAGTCCGTGAGATCCTGAGACTTAATAGCGGTGCGGGGGATATACCTGATGTCGTGGCCCATTAGCTTGAGTGCCCACTTGGAGATTCATCCTGTGGTGTCGCGGTTGCGGATGATGTCTCCTAGTGGGTATGAAGTGATGACCATGACTTCATGGTCGGTGAAGTAGTGCAGGAGCTTCTCGGTTGCCATTAGCACGGCGTATAGAAAGTTTCTCCACCTGGGGGTACCAAACTTTGGCATTGGTGAGTACCTCACCGATGAAGTATATGGGTCATTAGACCTTCAAGGGGTGTCCCACCTCCTCCCTTTCGACGACTAGGGCGGCGCACACCACGTGGTTGCTTGCCACGATATAGAGGAGGAGGGGTTCTCCCCGTTTGGGAGCGACGTGGATTGGGGCTGATGTCAGTGGTGTTTTGAGGCTTTCCAGAGCCTCCTATGCCTCCTCAGTCTAGACGAACACGTCTGTCTTTTTGAGAAGTTTGTAGAGGGGCATTCCCCGCTCGCCAAACAGCCCGTGAGCCTCGGTATGCCCTTGACATTGCGTATAGGGCCCATGTTGGAGATGGCCATGATTTTTTTGGGGTTGGCCTTGATGCCATGTTCGAACACGATGTATTCAAGCAGCTTCCCCTTTGGAACCCCAAAAACACATTTTTCGGGATTCAATTTGGTGCAGACCCTTCGGAGGTTTGCGAACGTTGCGGCTATGTCCGTGATCAGGTCGCAAGCTTGGGCCGTTTTGACCACTATGTCATCTACATAGACGGTGATCATTGGTTTTGGCCGCTTGACTTGATCAGGCTGGTCGAGCGGGTCGATTTGGTCAGTGAAGCATTGCTGCATGCACCGTTGATAGGTGGTGCCAGCGTTCTTCAGACCGAAAGGCATGGTTACGTAGTAGTACGAACCATATGGACTGATGAATGAAGTTGCGAGCTAGTCGAACTCTTTCATTGCGATCTGGTGGTAGCCTGAGTAGGCATCTAGAAAGGAGAGGATTTCATATCCTGTGGTGGAGTCGACTATCTGGTCTATGCATGGCAAAGGAAAATGGTCCTTCGGACATGCCTTGTTGAGGCCAGTATAATCAACGCACATTCTCCATTTCCCGGTCTTCTTTTTAACAAGGATAGGATTGACTAGCCAGTCGGAGTGGTATACCACCTTGATGAATCTAGCTACCAGGAGTTTGCCGATCTCCTCGCCTATGGCCCTGCGTCTCTCATCGTCAAAGCGACACAGGCGCTGCTTGGCGGGCTTTGAGCCCAGGATGAGGCACAGTGCGTGCTCGGTGACCTCCCGCGGTATGCCCAGCATGTCAGAAGGTTTCCTTGTGAAGACATCGTGATTGGCGCATAGGTAGTCGACGAGCTCGCATTCCTATTTGGCTAGGAGCTTGGCCCTGATCCGCACCATCTTGGTTGGGTCGGTGGGGTGGCTAAATAACCAGTTGACCATAAAGTTCAAGCGTAGGGATTCCAATGATTTGATATAATTTTATGCCTAATTGTCGCAAGCATGTAGGAGAGGGAGAAACAACAAAAACTTGATTAAGCAAGTAATCTAGCACTACATTTTTCAAAAAAGATGTTTGGAATCACATGGACGTACCTTCTAATAACATCTCCTAGAGTTTCCAAAACCCACTCATAATCTTGATTTTTTAGTAACATCGGAAAAAACTGCTCTCCAACAATTCCATATATTAACTCCCAATCATTCCGCACTTGGGAAAATTCACCCAATCACACATAAATATATGCGCGCGTATCCATCAACCAATCTAGAGATGGAAGTATGTGGAGAATAATAAGGAGTAGAAAAGGATTCCTAATGCAAATGTACATGAGAGAAAGAAAGTATAAAAGTGGTTAGGGTGATTTAAAAATATTCCAGGATTTCTGATGCAAAATTGCTTTCTATATTTTAAGAGTGAGATTTTAGAAACTATTGGAGGAGCTCAACAAATGTGCTTCCAACATTTTTTTAGCCACTTGGAAAACTCATTGATTTACCAATTGTTGCTGGAACTATTGGAGATGCTGTAAAGTCACCTCCTTCAAGGAAATCGAGAGCAATCCCCACTTAGTTTTGGAATTTTTGGATTGCTATTGTGAGGTCCTCCCTTCTCCTCCTCAGGCTATAGTTATGTCCCATGGAGAAATTGATTTAGATGGAGCCCCGTGGAAGCATCTCTACAGTAGAATTTTGATGAAGCAACACATCTAGAAAAAGAAAGGCATCATTGAAAATCGAATTTTAGAGTATGTTGCATATCCGCCTCTAGAAATCATTAATTTCTAGATGCACTTGAATAGAGAAGGTTGGAGAAACCGCCTTTACAGCAACTCCATTAGATTCTTTATATCATTTCTAATTAATAGGAATAGAGATTTTTATGAAAAAGACCCTCCAATAGCTCCTTTAACAAGATCTCCAAATATAGTGGATTTCTCGCTAGTCAAATATAGAGAGCGCAACCGGCTCTCTAAAGTGCACACAAGATATATAAAAGTTATTGAAGGGCAGAATGTATAGAACTATTTTTGTTAAAATGACTTTCTAAATGATGATTTAGAGAGAAACTCTTGTTTGTGCTCTTATATATCAATTTTGACCATGATTAAAAATCTCCTATATAGAAGCGGATTGATGTAGTGGATAAAGAACTAGTCAAGTGGGTGGGTGCGTGGAGACTGTCTTTTAGTGAGTGCACGGACCTAGGACTGACCTACGTTAGATTTATTAGGCGCATAATTGTACCACCGTGGATGCTGAGAAATTAAAAAGACAAGTTCCTCACTACATTGGCTCCTGGCACGACTAATGTGCCATGGCTTCTTTGCCAAGAAATTAGGTAGTGGAGGGAGGAGTCATGCTGGGTCCGCCACAAAGAAAATCCATCATCAAGGTGCATGTATGGTGATGACGTCAGTTTACTAGAAATGATGACATGTACTGATTAACTAGAAGCATGGGGCCAACTTTTCTTATATTAAAGATATATATAACGTTTCTATGTCATGGAAACATCGTCTTTTATGTGTCACCGCCACTGGAGCGCCGCTCCTCCCGCGCCCATCCCAGCGTCGGGTTTGTTGTGTGTGCCGCTGGAGCCTAACGTCCGCCTCCGGGTTGTGAGCAGCATGGGGAGGGGCGTCGGGAGGTGAGCGGGAGGGGGCGCTCTAAGGAATGCGATGGGAGGGAGCGTCGGGCTGGGGACGGGAGGGGACGAGAGTGAGAGACGCCTAAGTGAGGGAGAAGTGAGTGAACCCTAATGTAACACCTTTGGCGTTACGAGCTTGCTTAGCACCGAGGTTTAGGCCTAAGACGATTTACCGAAACGATTTTCTCAGATTTTAAGAATTTAACTTATGTTTAAAAATGTTTGATAATGATTCTAGCAAGTAAATGGCAAATGGCTTGTTCGGTTGGATTGAGCATGAAAACAATTTTATAAACAAAAATAAAATATAACTTGTCATTGGTACTTAAATAATATTTGAAGTGCCAGTTTAGTAGATGACAATAGAACCGTTGATTTGGTGAATATATGTTGTTCCATGGTAAATCAAATTTAAAATTTAAAAACCATCTTCTCGCGTCAACGCTAAAAATTAGAAAGTATATTTTAAAGCGTTGTTTGTGGCTATTTGTTTTGCGTAAAATAATTACATAACACCCTAATATTTTGTTCCATGGCTTGGGAGCTATCGCGTGAAATGTCTATTGGTGGCAGTCAATGCTAAAAATCAGAAAGTATATTTTAAAATTGCTACGACACAGCTACCCGTCTGGCCGCTTCATAAATTCAAGTAATTGGTGTGAAAGCACGTAACAGACGAGAGATAGTGCAGCAACTTAGCATGCTTCATTTACTTTTCCTGGCGCGGCATTCAACGTACTCGCCTTGCTTTGCAATTATGCCCCGTCCCATCTCCCGCCGTGGCTCTGCACCCCGGCGCATCGGTTTGCCTGCGCTCCTGTCTTCTCTCCCTCGCCTGCGTCGTGTCCGATATTTTTAATGGGAGTACATGGCTCTGTCGTGCCACGCCCCGCTAAGCGCCACCGTTCGTCTGCTTGTTCCGTTGCTTCACCTTGTGCTACCATGAATGCCTCTGCGGCCTCTGTCTGCCTTGATTGCTCTTGTCTTGCCTCTATTGCCTGCATGGCTTGTCTCTGCTACCACGGTCTTGTCCTTGTCCGCCCCTGCGTTCTTGATGAGGTGGAGGCTGTGTCTCGCGTTGTTCCTTCTTCCTTGCGTCCTTTTCTCTGTGAGTGCCTTAATGAAAGTTGACCGGACTGCTGCAGTGCCGTCCCTCCTTTCCCCGTTGCTCGCTCTATCCCCTTGCCTCTGCCTTTTTCTTGGCCGCAGCATCACGCCGCTTTACATCGTGCCTGCGGCGCCGCTGCCCGGCCACCGCTCGCGTAGGCGTGCCCGAGTCCACATGTGGCTCCACCTCGCCAAACTCACCCCAGCAGTACCCAGACCTGCAGCTCAGCCGTGAGCTAGTAGAGACCGACTGATAGGAGCAAGCCAGGCTAGCTCGCTCGCTCGCGATGGCGTCCGTCATCGTGCAGGCGGTGGTGATCCTCCTAGACGTCATCGCCTTCGGCCTAGGCGTGGCTGCCGTGCAATGCCAGAGCCAGACCACCGTCAGCCCGGACGACACCAAGGAGTACGGCTACCACGTCTACGACTCCGACATCGCCATGGGCTACGGCGTCGGCGCACTGCTCCTCCTCGCCGACGCGCAGGTCATGCTCATGGTCGCCAGCCGCTGCTTCTGCTGTGGCCGTGGGCTCGAGCCGGGAGGCTCCCGCGCCTGCGCTCTCATCCCCTTCTTGTTCACATGGTTCACCGAAGCTGCGTTGGATCGCTGGGAGCATCGTCTCTGCCACCACGGACATGATTATCCACTGCACATGGCTAACCCCATCCACGGCTTCATCGCACCAACCAACCATTGTAGCCTGATCTAGGTGATGCCCCGGTACCTTCGCTACCCTCCGCTCTTCCGAGTTCGTAGCCAGTTCGCCGGAACGCCACCGCCATGGCGGTGAACTGGGCCGTCATGGCCGCTAACCATGGTCGGCACCATCCCAACCTTCTCCGGCCCAACCGATCGTCACGACCCTCCCTAACTAGCTTTTGCTTCATTCCCTTCCCCTCCGTTTACCCAGTGTTGCTGCAACCATGCCCGATCGCGTGCGCCGCCGCCGGTGAACCGCGCCGACACGGGCAGTCGTGCCCTACCACCGTCGGGTGCCTTGGCCCTCCCTGGTCGCTCTCCATGGCCATGTTGTCTCCGCGCGGGGGACCCGTGCACCTCGTCGACCACCCCGCTCCACCGGTGAGCCCTCCTGGCCGGATCTAGTGCCGGCTGGCCAAGAATTGATGCGTTGCTCTGCTCTGGATTCCGAGGGAATTGCAAAAAACATAAATTTGACTTGTTTAGGGAGTAAAATACGAATAGTATGACTCACAGGAATAGTGGTCTCGATGGTTTTGCAATTATGGGATAAAACGAGGATTCTTTAGAAAAATTGCCGTGGCCACTGTGGATCCCTCCTAGGTCGGCCTGCTCCGCGCGTGGGCCGGCTTGCTAGGCCACTCGCGCCCCGCCCCGTGCCTGGGCCGCGCGTCCGCGTGGGCCGTCCACGCTGTTCCGCCGTCGTTGTGTCGTTCGCTGTTCGCCCCGCGCTTGGCCGGCCAGTTGCATGTGCGCCTGGGCCGCCCACGCGGTTATCGCCGCTGATGGGCTAGTTTTGTTGCCGCTGGTCTTTTTGAATTGTAGAGCACTTTCTAATTTAGCTTGCAAGGTAAACTTGTAAAATTTGTAGTAAATCATAGAAAAATTATAAAAATGCCAAACCAGTTTTGTTGAGTTTCTAAAATCATGATCTACCTAATAGTGTATTTTGTTCGCATAGGTTTGGTATGTTTTTAGGGTTGCTCTAATTATTTAAAATGTTTAATATTGTTAGAATGTGAACTTGTAGGAATTTCCGTGATAAATCGGTGATAGCATTGACTCTGAAAATTTCATAGTAAATTACTAATATTATTAGCCGCTCATTGTAGTTTTTGTAGCCCCAGAATAATTAGTTTGCTAGATAAATAATGATGCCCTATTTCGAATAATGATTAAATCGACAGAATGAAATAAAGAAGAGTGAAATACACTGGCGGCCCTTTAACTTTTCAGCCTATGCCAGTCCGGTCCACGAACTTGCAAACGCGGAAAATGGACCCCTGAACATGTCAAGTTGTTCACCGCAGGTCCATTTCCCATCCGGCGCGGCCTCCAGGCGACGTGGCAGCGCCAGCGTGGCGGACGAAGCACGTGAGCCGCACGTTTCAATACTGAATGCGGCGGGGTGGCATTGCGTCCACACTGTTTGGTGGACCGGGAGGCGCGAGACGCGGCAGCGCCGATGGCGGCAACGGCGAGCTCGGCGGGGTGGCGTTGTGGAGCGCTAGCGCCTGTGCGGGTTACATGGGGGTGGAGAGCGCGATGAGGCGAACTCGCCTAGGACATTCCCCGCGGCAGAGGACATCCGGAGGCGGCGGTACGTGCGGCGAAGCGGCTCGGCCACGGCAGCGTAGCTCCGGTGAGCTAGAGTGACACATAGAGAGGGAGAGGAAGAGCGCAGGAGCACTGGAGGGTTCCTTAGCACGCCCCGAAGCTCATTGACAAGCTCACGTCTGCTGGAAAGCGGTAAAGGACAAGATCGATGGCGGTGGTGGCGCTGCTAGCTTAGGATGAGGCGGCGACGCCTATAGAGCAAGAAAGGGAGCACAGGGAAAAGTGGAGTGCTCACGCAACACTCTAGGCACAATTTTAGAGGGAGAGAGAGAGACCGCGGGAGGAGAGGAAAGGCCAATCAAGGAGCTCGGCTCCATGCTGACAATGGCGGATCTCTGACTCGGAGCTGCGGTACGAATGACTCGGGGCGAGGGGCTATGGCACGTAGAAAGGGTCCACGTAGGGTGCTCGGTCATGCAGGGGACGCGGGAGAAGGGTGCGGCCAGGGGTGGTCCAAGCGCTGCCGGCGACGGTGTTCGTCCTGTGCGGAGCGGGAGGTAGGGGGCGACCCTGACATGAGGGGCCTACATTGAAACGTGCGGCTCACGTGCTTCGTCCGCCACGCTGGCGCTGCCACGTCACCTAGAGGTCGTGTCGGATGGGAATTGGACCTATGGTGAACAACTTGATAAGTTCAGGGGCCCATTTTCTGCGTTTACAAGTTCGTGGACCGGACTGGCACAGGCTAACAAGTTAAAGGGACTCCAATGTATTTCACTCAATAAAGAAACACCTTGGAATTGTATAACTAAAACAATTGTTGGGAAATAATGTCTTATTCGACAACATGGATACGTAGACCAGAGTTAGAGCTATCTCGTTAGCTTGTGAGGCGTGATCGGATTTCTAAGCATTTCGGCTATCGTTGATTATTTACATCTATGCATTTGCATCAATGCATATCATATAGGCACGATGATGGATCAACGGATCAATTGAAGGATGATTGAGAATCCGAAGATGGTGTAATGGTATTCTCTCCAGGAGATGATGCAATGGGCTTTCTATTCAGTCGATGGTGGATGATCTGAAGATGTAGATACTAACTTTTAGTATATATCTTACCCAGACAAGCCCCGGTGCATAACCCCTACTTTTCTGCACTTTAAATTACATTTGTGCATTAAGTTTTAAGGAGTTGAATGAAACCCACTTGCATATATATATATATATATATATATATATATATATATCCTATGAGTCTTACTAGTTTGACAAGATCGTGTAGATTGCTATGCTACAGGACTCCGATAGAAGTCAAGTGATTGCCTGTCACTCACGGGAGATAGGAAATATATTACTGTATTATTATCACTTGGAAAATATAAATGGTGGAAAGGAAAATGGTGACCGGATAGGGAAATGGTTTGGGTATTGATGGGTGTAAGAAGTTGTGCCCTTTTGCCATGGGGCATAGCTTGGTTACATTGGTTTCCCTGTCTGTGTCGGTTAAGGACCGACCATTGCATAAGACGCTAGGAAAGTCACAGACTTATTATACCAAGCACATACATGGGTATGGGCGCTTGGAAGACTTGTTACTCTCTTGTCATGGGTTCTGGCTCTTTTCGGACCGACTGTCTTGGTGGTTTTTGGGTTAGGAGGTCCTTGCACCGCACTGAGTTCGGGACTCAGGGGCAGGAGCTTGGAGTCCTAGTTTGGACGGGGACCTGTACCACGTGACAGGAGGGTAGTGGGTTGGTCCTGCTTGTGCCCGGGGTACAAGCGGGGCGTGTGTTTTTGGGGTACCCAGCTGGGGGCATTGATTCGTGAATCGCCGGGCGATCCGGTACGACTTGTCTTAACTCCAGCACCGTAGTAAGAACTGCAAGATGAAAGATGGAAAAAGGAAATTCTAATTGCTTACCACCTGCTTGAAAGTAGTATAGGTGCTTACATAGAATGGTTACTTAATGAACTAATGCACTACTAATAAAAATCAAATATAAGGACGCACTTTTAGTAATGCTCCTGCAGATGCAATAAACCCACAAGCTAGATAGCCTTGCATATCCTTGGAGTCTTTTCTTTCCTCCTGTCGGGTAAGTCTTGCTGAGTACAATTGAGTACTTAGGGTTTCATTTCCCCTTGTTGTAGGTGACAGGTGGATGCTAGAGCTGACTCTTGTGTGTGGATACCTCCTGGTGGGCTCAGAGAGGATTCCTTTACGCTGCGATCATAGTCTTTATTTATAACTCTCACTAAAAGTTTTTTATAAATGAAAGTTTTATAATCTGTTGTCATAGTTTACATATCAATGATTCATCATGTCATGATTAGATAATTATTTCTGTTGTAATTCTAATCACATGTTTATATTCCGCTGTTAAATTAAATTGTTCATAACTCTGATAACATGATTACATTCTGTTGTATAACAATAAATATTATAGTCTGATGTTATAATAAAAGTGATGTAAGAAATGGTTTAAAAATGTTGTAAGCTTTATTCTCACATTTGTGATCCTGATGGAAAAAATGTTGATTTTTGAGTTCTCCCCTAGGGTGTGCCCGACGAAACTGTGCAATTTAGTGTTCTCCCTTGAGTGCTTAGTGTCTAATGGAAGACAAGCACTCCTGGGAGGCATTAGATTAGGCAGTTTTGCCATACCTAACTCCCGTCCTGTATATATAAACCTGATAGTTGGATTGGATTTGGCTTTTTCTGGGCCATGGGAGTACTAACCGAGGCGGACCTTATAAGAGGCCCGCCTCAGAAAATGGGGAATTTTTTAGGCGGGCCACTTATAAGGCCCACCTCCGTTAATAGATTTTAGGCGACAGTTATGTTTTGACCGCCTCAGTAAATTGATTTTGCAAGGGGTTGATTGTGACCGCCTCGGTTAATAAAAAATGACCGCCTCGGTTAATCCCATGCATTAACCGAGGTGGTTCAAATGCCTGCCCGCCTCCGTGCCCCTTTGTCAAATGCCTAGGTTAAGTTTTATTGTAGTAGTGAGAATAACTTGTTGCCCGTAAAGTTCAAGACGTGGTGGCTAAATAACCAGTTAACCATAAAGTTCAAGCCTAGGGATTCCAATGATTTGATCTAATTTTATGCCTAACTGTCGCAAGCATGTAGGAGAGGGAGAAACAACAAAAACTTGATTAAGCAAGTAATCTAGCACTACATTTTTCAAAAAAGATGTTTGGAATCACATGGACCTACCTTCTAATAGCATCTCCAAGAGTTTCCAAAACCCACTCATAATCTTGATTTTTTGGCAACATTGGCAAAAACTTCTCCCCAACAATTCCATATATTAACTCCCAATCATTCTGCACTTGGGAAAATTGACCCAATCACACGTAAATATATGCGCGCATATCCATCGTCCAATCTAGAGATGGAAGGATGTGGAGAATAATAAGGAGTAGAAAAGGATTCCTAAT